TAATTTTTCCTTTGGTCTTTTGTGTCCTAGAGCTAAAAAAAAAAAAAGGTATTTCAGAATTTCTATATGAGCATTGATTAAGCTAGGAGAAGATTAACACTATGCCATGGAGGGCATGATTGTTTTGTAGCATTGCTGATTAAATGAAGTATATATTGAGTGAAAGTATTGCGGGAAACTCCTAGTTCATGGTTAAGTCTGATTGTATAGACTTTGCTTAAAGCTTTACTGGATCTTTTGTGTACTCACATTCTCAGTTATTTTCCTATTAGCCTAAATAGAAATCCTGTTGGAGCTTAACAACTAAAGGCTGAAATACGCCAGTTTTTCAGATACTGAGTAAAGTTAAATGGCACATACAAAATGGTGCTTAAGGGCTTTCCAGTTTACAGTTTTATTTCTGCAACAGCTATTCAACAAATAGTACATTTACACCAAATTAATTGGTTGTATTCCTTCAAACAAATCCTCTTTCTTGTAATGGTGAGGGCACTTGGTAATCTTGACGTATCACCTGAGAAAATGGTCTGTATAAGTATTTTAAAAGATGAAAATACACTGGCAGCCTAAAAACGGTGAAAATGTAATTTAATACACTTCAAGGATGAGGAAGAGCTTGAATTCAACTGGCATTAATTTAATACGTTGAATACAGATTAATTTGTTTATCAGTGTTGCCATTTATTACATATCCATAGAAGACTGTAAAAGTTGAAAGTAATTTCACTGTGTTATGCACTTTATTTTTTGCTTTCTTCTTAGAAAACCAAAAGAATTGTAAATGTTTTTGGTTTTGAATTCTAATTGATGCGGTTGTTTAAATTGTGAATACTGCAAGAAACTGTCTATGTGAAAATATTCTCATTGGTATTTAAAAGGAATTACATATTTCTGTGGTCTAAGGCTTTGTAAAATCATTCTTTAAAAAATCTAAGTATTGGACCAGCCTGGAATTAAGCAAACTCATAGTCTCACAAAAAAGGATAACAAAGGAAATATACTAAATGCAGAGAAGATAAAATTATGCTGCGTAGGGATATTTTGTGGACTATAAAGTGCTAAGACCTTGTACTTGCAGTACATATAAATGGCACGGTGCATTCTAAGGAACATAAGGAGTGTGTTGCAAGTATTGGGCCATCCTTATTTTTCCAAAGTCTCCAAAAATATATCTATTTTTTTTAACAAAAGAGTAATGTAAAGTATACCTCCTTATGCAAGTGTTATTGATAGAAATTGTTACATTTTCTTTTAATAAACAAAAGGGACAAAACCTTTTATTCGTATTTTTCAAATAAAATATGCTGTTTGCTATGGTGATGGGTTATTGTATTCCTCATCACAACTAGAATGGGTTATTTTCTCTTCACTCCTGTGTCGTATACTCACCAAAGAAATGTAACTATCAAAAAACACTGTCTTTATGAATCAGACACGATATGGCAGTGTTAATGAGGTCAATGTCAGAAATGGTATATGGTAACTTTATCTTGATTTTAATGCCAGGTATAGTCACTCAATTGTGTCACTGTTTCAAAGACTGTCTTGCATGATTATTGCTACAGATGGGTAGGGAGAGAGAGAGAGACTGAGAAATACTTTGCAACAGACTGCAGTATAACTGCTAAACGGTTCATTACTTTTACTTGTGGCAACTATTCCACTCTAACCATCACTGTCCTGAAACTGAAATACAGCATTATAGGATGAATATGTTATCCACATGAGTGAGTTAGGAAATTGCACATCTATGAATCCAGATTGGTGCTAACAGCCAGGGTTGTTATCCTAAGTTGACACAGAAGAAACAGGCAAGGTCATTCACAGGCATGAAGCTCAGGCGCATCCAATGAAGTGCACATTCTTCCTCAAAGGAATTAATAGGCTTTACCAACAAATTACATCTTAGAAAATAACGGCTAACAAGGAGCTTGTTGCATGCAAGTCCTTCCTTCCAAGACATAAAATTCAAAAACAATGCTAAGGATTGATAGGAAATGAAAATGCATTATTGTAGCCTACTTACTCTACTCTATTTTCCACAGGCCAGTTTAAATTGTGTAGCACTATACTATACAATACCCACACGTGCCTCGCCCCACAAAGAAATTACTATGGTAAGGTAATATTTTCAAGACAAATATTATCATCATGAATCTAAATGCAAGTTCGGGGGAGGAATTAATGCTTTTGTGGTTTTTGTTTGGAATCCTCATTTGAAGTTTTTAAACTTTCTTAAGTATGTTTCTAAAGATTTCAGATAATCTTTCATGTCTAAGATTCATTGAACTCGTTTGGGTGGGTTTTTTGAGGGGGCAGGTTTTTTTTGTTCATGGGTTTTG